CCCCCCCCCCCCCCCCTGTCTTTGTGCTGTGCTGAGAAGGAAAACAAACACCGCACTCCCTGCGCGGGTTATGCACACTGGGCACCATCCCCCCCGCCTCTCCATCCACCTCCGTGTTTCTTCCACCCACGGTTCCAGGCTCAGGGTCCTCCTCACCCGCTGTGACCTGTGGAGCTCAGTGATGATGTTAGCAGATGCGATTTACTCTAGAGTTTTCTTTTGTAGGAGAGTGCCCCTGCACTGGTTATAGTGAGAGTGTGGGCACCCAGATGAGGTCGAGAGACCTGAAGATACCGGAGGTGAATTCTGTACGTCTCTGCAGATCCTCAGAGCTTTTTTTCTTTTTTCTATTTTATTTTTTCTTTTTTTTTTTTTTCAGTGGCATGATCTGCCTACTCAGTGAAGGAGAAACTGAGGCATAAAGGAGGCTGAAGTGCTTTTTAAAGGTTGTTAATGGGCTGAGCTGTTACCTCGGCCCTGTTTAGCCCATGCCAGAAATGTCACCCGTGGGCTATGCAGGCACCCCTTCACCCTGCAAAAGGGCTTCCCTCAGCTGGGCTTTGTCTCATACTGAGGCTTTTTTTCTTCTCAGAGAATAGACAAGCAGAGTAATACAGACTCTTACAATCACTGCTGCTCCTCTGTAATAAAAAATGATATTACAGTAAGCTGAAGTCCACCAGGAATAGCGAAGGGAGAAAAATAATTTCCTCCCCACACCTCTGCTTTGGCCTGATTGTTTTATTTATCTCGCTTTTTCCCATCCATTTCCATCCTGGGTGTTTCTCTCTTCTTTTTTTTTCCTTTCTTCTCCTAGACTTCTTGCTCCTCAGTGTGGGACCCTCCAAAACCCCACGTGCCCTTATTTACATCCCTGAATTTAGCAGGCTGTACCTGTGCTGGCCTGGCCTGGCACACACCAACCAACGCTGCCTCATGAATGCCTTGTGCTCAAAGCTGATGGGGAAAGCACAGATGTATAAAACTTCTCAGGCACATAAATTTCCCGCAGGCTAAAAGGCTGTGTCTAGCATCGTTTTGTGCAATTTCCCTTTAGACCGTGAACTGCATCCATCATCAGTGACAACGAAGTGAAGCTTTTTCTCACACTCCTGTACACCTCCCCTTGCCTCCTTACCCCATCACACCTGTTTGTTTTTTTTTTTTTTCCATGGGATGTTCACACCGTTCTCCTCATCCCCTGCTGTTAATGCATGAAGTGTGTGATGGGGGGACAGGTCTTCTGCATCTGCTTTCAGGGTTGGAGGAATGGCTGCAGAGGGAAGTTGGGGTGGCAGATTGTGCTCCTGGTTTCTTAGAGCACAGGACAGCCCATGAGCTTCACAAGGTGTGTCTGGCATGGGAGAGAGCAGGAATTGCATTGCTGACCTGTAACCAGGCAAAAGCCAAGCCTCAGGACATGCCAGCTCCGTGAGTCTTGGCGTGGTAAGACTTCACACGCAATCCAGTTCGATTCTCCATCCTGGACGTCTGCTTCCACTAATCCCTTTGCACTACAGCTTGCAGGGTAGGTCAGTTAAGCTGTTTTCTCTGATGCAAACCTAGCTCAACAAAGAAAGGAAAGGGGTTTTTTGTTGCCTCGGTGACCTGATGTGTCCTCTGCCTTCAGGATTGGTAGGATTCACAAAAGCGAAGGGGGAAGCCCCTGTGAAAAGAGTCTTAGTGAGGTGGGAGGAGACCCTCACCCCATTTTGGTGCCAAACTCCTGTTACCCCTACGTAGGCATAGAATGAATGCCCTGAGCCTGGCAAATGTGATAATGAAGACAAGTCAAGGGTTAATCACTTAAACTCACTTGCCAGCCTAGGGGGAAATTGAGCCTGGGGCTGGGAAACTGGGAGACTTCTGTTGACTTGAACCAGAAGCCAGGTTTGTCCCTGGGAATTGGGTAGCTCTCCAGCAGCAAACAGGTTTGTATTACAGCCTCACACACAGACATTTTTCACACGCTTAACACTTTCAAATCTCTTTTTCTACAACAGGTCTTTGATCCCAGTCCAAGATATTGATAGGAAATTAAGAGGCAGCTGCTTCCTGTCATTTCTGAGTTCGGACAGGCTGGGGAACAGACGTGCCTATTGAGGGGGTGTCCCTACAGAGTGAATGAGAGGTTTCGTGTTGCACCTGGGAGGAGGTGAAGGATGGGTTGGATCCGTGAGGCTTTCAGGGCAGAAAAATCAAATCCCTCCACAGCTGCTGGGAGGCAGTGAGGGGGAAGGGGAGATGGCAGTGGGGCGGTAGCAAGCAAACTGCTGTTGTGTTTTAACAGCCTGATGCTGTAAATGTTAATTGAGCTGTACTCAGGGCCCCAATAGCCAGGGCCTTTTTCCACCCTGAGGATTTTATATATGCTGAAGACACAAGGTTTTGTGGGGGCTCTGATTTGTAGCCGTGGCGTGCAGAAAAATCAGCCTTACAGTAAAAATATCATCTTTGTTAGGGGTTACCAAATCCAGTAGCCCAGTGTGGAGCTGCAGGCAGACTCTGCTGGGCTTCTGGTTTTGGCCACCCCTAGCAATCTCCACCTCAAAGGACAGAAAAAAAAGCTTGGAGGTGAGGGTTTTTAAGTCATTAGGTGTTTTCCTTTATTGATTTTGGTAGGTTGGAGCTGGAGGCAAGTGGAATTTTCATCGACATGCCCTCAGCTCTGTAGAGCATCTGTGCAAGAGCTGATGCAGGACCTGACCGTCTGACAGGCAGCTCTCTGCTTTCCCCTCCGTACAATCTGTTTTTCAACAGAAGAAGGAAAACTGTTGCTGCTCCGGGAACGAGAGCCTTTGGCTTCAACCTGATATAGTATCTGTGTTTGCTCCCGCTCACCGTAAAACTCTTCATTAACATAAATGGGAGCAGGAACAAGACCGCAACATGACTAATTCTCCACCCCCAGACTGTCTGTGTGTATATTATCAACTCCTCGTTCAGCTCATGTGCCTGCACACAATTGTGGGATAAATCTTACTCTCAGTTGGTGTTTATTTTAAATTGAATCTTCTTACTGAAAAGGTTCAAGAGGCATAATTATGGTCTGGATTTCAGAGTTACACACGTCTTTGTGGGCACAAATAGCAGGGAAAAGAATGGCTGAGTAACTCATATTGCTGTGGTTTAGTGCATCCTGCTAGAAAGCTGCATACGTCCTGGCTGGTCTTTCTGGGCATGTTACCAGGCAGGCAAAAAAAGTATTTTGTTTTGTGTTCAATGTGTAGATGAGAGCTCTGGATCTATTCCTAGCTCAGCCATAGATGAGCATACGACCTTGAGAAAGTCTCTTATCTGATCCTACCAGCAAATGAATGCAGAAGCTGCCTGAGCTTAACTCTTGCGGAGTTGTTTGAGTCCTCTGTTGCTTTAGGTCCCACGGTTTGCTATCCCAGCTTTGGGCAGAGCTTCTCTGAGCCCACATGGGGTGGCAGAAGGAGAAGCCGGGAGGAATCTACTGGCTTCTCCTCCACCAGGGTGTTTTCAAGGGGACCGTTCCCAAGGGGCAGACAGGACATGGCCAAGGATGGAAACCACAAGTCCAAGCCTCCCTAAGTGCAGACATCTCCACTCAAACCATGCCAGCACCCCAGGTAATGCCCACACTTGCATGGGGACCAGGCTCCTGCCCTGAGACCCCAGCACAGATCTTTTGGCTGCAGATTAGCATCTTGAGCAAACTTCGACCTAAACTCAAAATTGTAAAACTGAGGGGGGAAAATAAAAAAGCAGCGTGCCACTTTTCCCAGCTCTCCTTTTGTCTCAAACTCTAGGGAGAAGTTTGAGTGGTCTTACTTCACCTGGTCCCGTTTTGTCCAAGAGGAAAGATACAGGTTTGCCCACCAGAAAAGCAGCAAACCAGCATGAATAGACACCCCGACCCCCAGCAACAGCCACTGCTGTGTCCAGAGGACGTTGAATTGTGTGATACAGTTCCAGATGGGTCTGTGAATGTGTCCTGGCCTCCTTGGCAAACCCTTTTATGGCCCCTTGAGTTAAGAGTGGAGATGTAGGTAACCAGAGCTTCCCTAAAAGCTAGAGCCTGTCTGTTCCTGCCCCAAAAGCAGTCAGATAGCTGAGGTGAGGTAACACTCCCTAGGAGCACCTTGGCACTGTGCCTCTCCCAAAGCCCTTGCTCCCTCTGCTGCAGCAAGAGCTGTCTCTCCCTTTTTGCTCCATTTTCCTTCTCAAACTGGAAACCAACCCTCTGCTTTTTATTCTAGGTGTTCATCCAGGGACAGCGTGGTGCTTGAGCAACAGCCGCTGCCTCTGCAGCTTTCCTCCAAGGGGCTGTGTTTGTCACGCTGCAGGAGCTGGTCCAGCCCTGAGGGTTTCCCACCTTCATCCCTGGCCCTTTGCAACACACATCTATGCTCTTTGAGTTCCAGAGAGGATGTCTCTACCCAAAATCCAAATAGAAGAGGCTCTGGACAACACAGATACTGGCTCTGGAGGTGCTGCTCCTCCTGATGACCATCTGAGAAGCCTCAAGGCATTAACAGAAAAGCTGAGACTGGAGACCAGGCGCCCATCCTACTTGGAGTGGAAGGCAAAGCTGGAGGAGCAGGCATGGAAGAGCCCTCAGCCAGCAGGAGAGGAGGAGGCAACCGAGGCCAAAAAGGCCATGGGAGAGCCTGTCCACTTGAGGAAGGTGCAGCTGCATCTCAATGGAAGCCCTGCCCAGGACAAGGTGACTCTTACCTCAGGGAGAATAGGGGGCTTTGAGAGCATTGACGAAGCTTTGACATGGCTCAGAAAGGAACTGGTAAGTTGTTTCCTGTCCCTGTTAGACAGCACAGTTTTCAAGAGGGGAAAAAAAAGAATAAAAATGAGGAAACAAGCGACGGCTTGTTCCTACCCGCCTTCAATCCCAGGTGAAAAGACAACAATCAATCATTGTGGTTTTGGTGGCTGGTGGGAGCAGGAGAAGCCCAGGGAAGGGAAAAGGCAAATGTCAGAGCACCACAACCTCAGAGAAGGAGCTGGGTCCATGTCAGCATCCCTGCTGGCATCCAGCAGGCTGGGGAAATATGGTTGCACTAGTAAGGACTTTTTAGCAGTTTGTCCCCTTCCCTGCTTCTCTATCTGTATCTCAACACTCAGATAAATACAGCGGGTATGAATACACCGTGAATACGTGGGCACTGCTGGTGCAATAGCCCATCTCTGATGGGGATCAGGAAGGGATGCTTTGTCAGGGCTGTAGGAAGGAGCCGTGACTAGATCTGTCCCCTGGATCTGCCCTTGCAGCTTGTGGCCATTTAGGAACTCCCTCAGCAGGAGGCTGTATGCTGACCACTGCATTTAACAGGCATGAGTCGATCTAACTTCCAAGTGTCTCCCTAATTACCCTCCTGTTTTTTTAAAAAAAAAAAAAAAAAAAAAACACCAAACAACAACTCGTAATACTCTATAAGATTTTATGGTAACTTACTTCCCCTAAGTCATTTCTGCACAGTGAGACCAAGTGTTTCCTTTTCCTTCGAACCATCTAATGAATAATATTCCTTCTTCTGTTGTGTGCATGATGCCAGAACCTTACCTCAGGCCCCTCCTCATCCAGCTCTTACAGGTTCCTCATGTGTTTGTTCCTGCTTCACTAGAAGCTGGTCCACATTTCCGTCATCCTCCCATCCCAACCTTGGGTCCTATCTTACACATGTTTATTTCTGGTATTTATGAACTGGCAGATTCACAGAGAGAAAGACCAGACAAAAATGCTGTATCTATGCTAGGAAAGCAGACAAAGCCATGGGTGCTGGCAGCTCGTATGTTGTGTTGCCATCACGGTCTTTGGCACGAATTTGGCCTGGGCCAACTAGTGCTGATGCAAGCAGCTCCCAACCCAGCTCAGCACAGCCTGGGGATAATTCCCCAGGAGGAAGCGTGGATGCAGCACATCTTTTCTGGAGGCCATAGCAGGTCGGTCGGATGGACATGACCGGATCAGGGCATCTGTTTTCAGGCCTGGAGTACTGGTCCCAGTGCTCTTCACAAGTGTAGGAGCAAGCAGACACCAAGACCCGTGATCCTTCCCTTCTCCTCACTGGAAAGAAAAATCTTAATTTTTTTGGCCCACATGACTGGAAACAACTCATGTCATGTGGCTTTGTTTCTGTTGCCTCATTGTAATTTTGTCTGTGAGTCCCACCAGCATCTGCAACTGTATTGACAGCAGAAATATTTGCAACAGGGTCCCAGGGGACTGGGACATCACTTGTGGTTCAGACACACGTGTGAAAATGTTCCAGTGCAAACGCCTTCCTTTTGATAAGCACCGAAAGTCTTAGAGCAAAACATTGCACAACAATGAATAATAGTTCTTAAAAATTGTCTGCAACTTTTGCTTTATATAATATTTATTTTTTTAGTTGCCCTTGCTGTATTCACCCATCTAGATTGGTCTCTAGGGAAGTTATTTATAGAGGTGGTTCTGGATGTCACAGCTTTGGCAATTAAGTTGTTTCTCAGGCTTTCAGAAGGTGGGTGCAGTGCTTTAAGGAATCCAGGACTATCAGGAAGAGTTTTGAGCTGATCTCCAAAAATCACTCAGCGCTCTGGAGAATCTCCACTCCAAATCGCAGACTTGAATCTGGGTCCATGCTTGTATCTGTGATACAATCTTAAATTCACAGAGCGCTTGATGTAAGCCCCGAATCTCAAGATGCCCAAAGACAATAAGAAGCAGATTTACCTTCTCAGAGCCCCGGCTTTTAAAACATTAGGTTTGTGCTTTCGGTTTCTGCCCGTGATGGAAGCATAAAAAGTCCCAGAGCCCAGTTATACCCTTTAGACTGGGGTGTGGTATGTAAACCACCATCTGACGAAAATGAAAAGTTTAAATTAAAGAAGAAAAAGGGCAAAGCAAACCCTAATTCTTGCTCACTTTCCATTTTCTTGCCTCTTAATTATACCAGTCTTTGCTGGATCTGGACATGACTCATGTAATTTAGAACAATTTCCCCAAAAGAGGGAGCATATATTTGACTGACCACACAGCTAAATAGCTATGTTGGAGGCACGATTGTCGGGTAAGAGCTGCCAGCAAACAGCGAGAACACAGCAAGGCCATCCCATCACAGGATGCTGGAACAAAAAGATGCATTTCACATTACATTTCAAGGGTGACACCCAGTTTCTTTTCAAAGAAACGAACAAGCTTCCACACATCCCAACACAGCCAGGATTTTTCCTTGTTTATCCCCATGTTGTCACAGTAGAGCAATCAGGAAAGCCTCATAGCGGGATATGGTTATGTCTAAGTTTATATATTTACTTAAAGCAGGAGCCAAGGCCAGAAAGGGCAGTATCCCTCAGACAGCACCCTGCTTGGGGCAACCAGGCAGGACACCAGCACCCCACACCGTGGGTAGGGTCACTCAAAGCAGGCAATCCATCCTTCTGGTCTGATTTAACTTAGGAGACCAGGGAGCACCATGCAAGCCAGCCTTACTCCAAGCAAGTGTTGAGTATCCTGGGCAACGTTCTCAAGAACATCCAAAAATGATCCAGTAGTCATAACTGGGATGAAATCTGCCTCTGCTGCAGGGTGAATTCTCCCTTCACTCCACGCAGTCCGTCATGAGAAGTCAGTTTAGAGTGTGTAGGATTCATCTATCCAATGAAAGGGCAAAAGCTGGTGTATGTGAAGATTGCTACGCAGAGAAGAAGTACACCAGCCCGTGTCCTTACTGAATGAAATGCAACGATGCAGTGCGTGCAGCTCCATCACCCACACTGTGCAACCCCCATCACAGCTACCAGCGTGTTTAGGCTGGGTTATTTCAACAGCATGGCCCCAGCATGGGCTTGGCTCCTACCAGATAGCACCCTGCCAAACAGTTAGAGCTTCAGGAGTTTGTACATGCTGGGGACTGTTCCCAACAAGCAATTTGTACGGGACCACCCAATTTTGGAATTAACTCTATCCCAGCCAAAATCAGTAGTGGCAGCAAAGTGAATTTAGTAGGATGTGCGTGCCCAAACTTCCCCTTGGCTGTGGTGCTACAGAACAGGCCACGGCATGGATTAGTTGCTTTGTCATGTGATAGTCCAGGAGTGCCCAGCTTTAAAATTAAAGTTACCTGTAAAATCTGAAGCATCATTCCCAGTTCACACAAAAGGGGTCATCCAGCGCTGCAAGGAATTTGCGTCCGTGTCTCCAGTCTGCTCTGGTCCAGGTTCAGGCAGGTTCAGTCTCCTCCTGTTCAGTAGTGAAGGGCAAACCCAAGGTCTTACTGAGCATCTGCTGGTTTTGGTCTTTCACCCCACATGACCTGTCCCAGGACCTGATTTTGCACTTCAAGTCCTGGCCCTGGTTTGTAGGACTGACATATGCCCACTGAGCTCCAGCCAGCCGCGTCAGCTGGGACCTGCGGAGAATCTGGCCCCGAGAAGGTGATTTATTCAGACATGCAAACTCCTGCTCTTGTTTTTGCACTGAGGCTCTGTGTAGGTGTACGAGCAAATCGCCGCACTCAGCATGTGCTGAACCGCCCCGGGGCTGCAGCACTTCCCTCCCCGACTCCTTCTGCCTCTCCTTTGCCCTAGTGTTTGCCTTTGCGCTGTCAAGCGTGGCTGCTCTTCATCAACACTGAAAGTAAAGCCATCACCAGCCAGGCTATGGTGACAGACCCAAGGATCAGAGTGGTCAGACTGTATTTCCTTCTTTGTTTATGAAAGTTGTCAGAACAAATGTTTACACGTTCAAAAATTAAGCCCTCAGAGAGTCCTTTTCCTTCTAAATGTGGTTAAAGAACAAAACTCTGCTATGAGCTGGGACATCTTAGAATAGTTCTGACTTTGTTCCAGTAGGAAAATATGCTTTTCGTCTCAAATTCACCAGCGTTAGGCACTAAAATCTGAAGTGTGTGAGCCAGAATGCAGGAAAGACTCTTGAGAAGGAACACAAATGTCTGATGCTCTTCCCTGGGAAATTGTAAAACACCTATGTCCTGTTGGTCGGACATTTATTATTAAATATTAACTGCTATTATCTCTGGGATACTGATACCGGCGGAAGAAGTACTTCAGTGAATTTAAACAATGATGTGGCACCAAAACAGTGTTGACATGAGCCCCATTGCAGATTGCTCTGTGATTGTTTGGAGGTAGAGAGGAGGAGAAGGAGTCTAAAGCACGGATATGATGATGGAGACTGGCCTGCGTTGGGAGTCCTCTGCCACACAGCAGGCCCAGGAAGAATTTTTCTGTGTTTTTATTTAAAGCAGTGAAAGGGCATGGGCACAGGCACCAGAGCGGGGTCATCTCTAGTGTTAAAATGCTAGAACAGGGGCATGGTTTGGGAATTATCACACAACAGGACTGTCCCCAAGTGACATTCACCCTGTTTTAGAGAGAGAGGGAGTTTCATGGGGTGGATGTGGAGTTAGGTGTGTAGAAGAGATGTAAGTGCAGCTCTGAGAAATTATGTGTTCTCTCCTGTGTAATCCCACGTGAAAGCCCACTGAGATGTCCCTTTGTTCACCTCACTCAGATGTTAAGCTGACAGGCTTTTCCTCTGTCAGCGGGATTTCTCCAAGGTACAGAATCCCCAGTCCTGGAAGCATTTTAGCACCTTGTAATTTAAAAAAAAAAAAAAGTAACTACCTCCCTCAGGAATGGTCATATGGTCTTTTCCAAGGGAGTCAACACAGACTAAACTCAACACTGAAGAACCGTGAGATTTGGGTCCCACATCAGGCTCTGCATGTGTCAGCTGGCAAAGGTATGCTGGACTTCGGTGGTGTGTAACTCCCAGGCTCTGCAGAAGGAGATGAGGTACCTCGTCTAGGGCTGTGGGTTGCACCACAAGGGCGTGAGCATCTAAAATTAGACATGGTAGGGTGGCATCTGAGCATCTTTGAAGATGAAGCCTCAAACCGACACACAGACTTAACTGACTTCTCTGAAGTGTTTGGCAAGGGTCTAATAACCGGCCTGTTCTTTGTGTTTGAATCCAAGTGGCTGCACTCAGTTAGGAAAGAACCGCTTTAGATTTAAGTTTCTTTTGATCTTCTGGAAATAAAAAGGGCTATCCCCATGGGAGCAGTCAGTTCTCCATGGACCATCACCCTGAGCTTCATGGACCACAGACTGGGATGATGTCCACAGGGGACTTCACTTTTGGGAAGAGGTCCCAAGGAGTTCCAGACCTCCATGGCACGAGGTGCTCTCTGCTGATACATCCCCCCTTAGCGACACAGAGAGATGGACCATTGGCAGTGGGAGCATTACTGGTCTTCCTCTCTGTGACCGTACAGTTAAGGCAAACTTGAAGACAAGTTTAGGCTATACCCTGAGCTTCCTATTTGGGCTAAGACTGGATGGCAGGCAAGGATGCATCCAAAACTCTTTCTTCCTCCCCATATTAAATATCCCTGGGATACTCTAAGGCTCAATCCAAACAGAAAATCCTTCCTGGTCTTCCTTTGGGCCTCTGTGGTCCAGCTTTGTTCAGCCTAGGAGCTGCAGTAGCTCCTCTGCCGGGAAGGGCCTGGGTTTGCTTCCCCCTCCCACCTAAGGAAACTGAAACCAGCAGCTTGTCCATCCCATCAGCGTGTCCCAACCATGCAGATGAAAAGCAGCTCTTTGCCTGCTGGAGCTGGGCGTGCAGAAAGAGGCAGACTGTGTTGCAAAGTGATTCGTGTGAGCGAGACATACCTGAGACTGTGCCTGCACTGGGCGTGTGAGACTTGAAGGGAGCAAAATGCACAGCTTCTGCTGGGTGGTCCCCGAGGGTTTCTCCAGGATGTTGCACAGAGTGCGTGGGACCATGCTGTCACCCCACACAGATGAACTGGTGCATGGAGCTACGCTGTGGTCACTAACCCTGTGGATGAACTGTGCAAACCAGAATCCCATGGCTTCCCGTGATGTGGCACCTCTAATCCCATTATTTCTTTCCAGAAATCTTTGTGGGATTTTACTGTGCTCCTTCTAAAAAGACATCATTAATCATTTCTAGAGATGGTTTAGTTCTCAGCATGGGATGGGTTGAATGTTTCTAGCGTTCATGAGGAATGTCTGGGAAAGAGGAGGAGAATGAGAATTTCTGGGTTCAGACCCAAATTCTGCTACTCTTCTGAGTGGTTCTGAACAAAGCAAGGTTTGACAGGACAAATCCATGGAGGGAAGACAGAGTGTTTGCATCTCAGGACAAGCCTTGGGGAGGAGTAGGAGGAGCAGGAGAGGCCATGCCCTGCAGAGCAGCCCACCCTTCCTGCCCACAGTGGGGCCTTTAGTGCTCTGCTCCCCACCCAGCCATCACCCCCTCGACCCCCATGGGACCCATCCCCGTGTAAAGCACTCCTGAGCCCTCGAGAAGCTGAGGGCGCCTCCTGAGGGGCACAGGCAGTGACAGCCCTCATCCCCTGTGCCATCTCTTCACTGTGCGTGTCATCCTTTAGTCAACCGCTGCCAGAGTTTGTTCCTCCTTTCTTTCCTGGAGGACAGAAGGGAACCTTCTCCCCCTGGGAAAGCCTTGGCTGGTGGTGCACATCCAACAGGTCACCCTTGCTGTCAGGCAGGGCTGTGTCTAAGATGCTGTCACAGACTCGATGATCAATGTAGATGGGTGGTGGTTTTGTCCCATGCCACGTCGCCCCCACCCTACAGGCCACGTGGCTGCAGAAGCAGCTGGTTCAGCGAACACCAGGGCCAGCAGGTCCAATGGGGGTAAGGAAGGGTGAATGGAGACTGAGCACCCAAAGGGTTCCTCAAAAAAAGAGGGAAAGTGAGAACTGGTCAAAAGCAAGTGAAAAGCTGGCTTGCAGGGGGAAAATAGCAATCTCCAACTCACATCCCTCTCCACAATGGCCTCGTAATTCATTTTAAAACACTTTTTGATGTTGAGTTTTGGATTTTTTTAATCTCGCATTCCTCAAAGCCTTTAATGAAAGCATTTGTTGACATTTCTTATGTAGCTTGATAAACTGACAAGAAATGACTACCAAGGGTCAGTTCAATAACACCCACAATCGCCTTCCTGATAAAATGCCAAGATGCAGTATTCACTGTGAAACAGGGAAAAATATCAACAGATTGGGGGCTTTTGTTTTGGTTTTTTTTTCATTGCAACTCACATGGGAGAAGAAAAACCTGCCGAGTGGCATTACTCTGCTGGAGGCACAGGCTACAAGGTCTGCAAGGAAATAGTGATTTATTATTTTTTTAAAGAAGTTAAATGGCCACAACCGTCCAAACAATTCAAGAGAGATTTCATGAGAGACAGAGATTCACTCTGAGATTTGTACAAAGGTGGCTTAATCCTCTCCAGGCAACCAAACCGGAATCCAGTTGCTGGCTGAGAGCACCAGGCAAGGTCCTTCAGGATGCCTTCACGGTGCAGGAGTGATAAAAGCCTTGCTTGGCTCGGATTAACTTTCATTATCCTCCTGTCATATCTTGGTTTAGGCTCTGATCACAGCATTGCAAAGAGCTTCCCAACAGCAGCAGAAAACAGCTGGAGCAAAGCCAGGCTTCCCTCCAAGCCCTTCAAACACCTACGGTGGCTGCTTCACCTTGCTGTGAGACCAGCAGTGCTGCAAGGGGCAATCCTGACATCTTTGGAGGCGTTGCCTGGAGGAGAAGGAGGGATTATGCCACAAACTAGAGCAACCCCGAGGATGCTTTGCTTGACAGCCTCGCTGCAGCAGCCCATGCATCAGGCATCATAAAGCTCTTGTAGAAATATCGCGGCCACCTGCAGAGCCTCCCAATGGTAATTTTTCCTCCTCCCTTCCCTTTAGCAGTTTGATGCATGAGCCACCAGACCAGGAATAAATTTATCCTCTGCCCCCAAAGCTACATCTGTACTTGTAAACTAAACAGCTCATTTTCAGGCCTGGAGGCAAACCAGTAAGGTCTGACCACATCCATGCTGTTAAAATCCAGACAAGATGGCTGTATCCCAAATGCCTACTGAGGATAAATCCATCTGTGTTAACTCCTGAAGAGTGCCTGTGGGGAATTGTTTAGGACTATGAGAGCTGGCCTCAGCTCAGAGGATGCCAGGACCTTGCTCATGATCAAGTGGAGACACTGTGTTGCAAGGCACTATTTAATCTATTGCTGTCGATGTAGTCTGGGTCTGTTTCTGAGCTCATTCTAACCATAGGGAGCCAAGAAACCTGGGATGCAAATCAAAGGAGTGAGGTAAAGGATGGATTTGGGGTCAGGGCAGCTCCCCAGTGCAGCTGGAGATGAGCTCAGGTCATCGTCTCATGCACTGAGAAGGCAGTGAGGACAGTACATGCCCAGGGAGTCACTGGGAGGAAAATAAAAGCTAAACCCAAACAAAACAAAATCAGGCTTGGTGCCAAGAGTCTCTTTCTAGTGTCAGTTCATGTCCTGTGGTGGAGGCAACACCAGGGAAAGAGGCAAGACATCTCATCTAGGACTGTTTTCCAGCCAGTTTTCTCCCTTGTCTCCAGCACTTAGAGAGAGATTTAAGCCACAAAGTTTACTAAGAGCTGTTCAGCTTCTCTCCCACCACTCTCTTTTCTTTGTGGCTTTTGTGGTTTGTTGCTTTTTTTGTGAGGAGGGAAGTGGGGTGAGACATGGGAATTGGTTTTTTCAGCATCTGTTGTTCTAGCTCTGCCTGCTTCTGTTCCCCAGACAAAAGCTGACTCTTGCACCAAGTGTTCACCTCCTTCCTTCATGACTTCCAATATCCTGTGGCAATAAATTTTAGGCTTAATTATAAGTTGAAATTTAAAAAAAAAAAAAAAAAAAAAAAATTCTGAAGTTAGGTGCCAGGGGAGAAAAAAAAACTCCTCCTAAACACTTAGCTCATTAGCCTGCGGGATAGTTGTTCTCTCTCCTGTGGGAAACTGTGGAGGTCCCATCCCAAGAGCCACTTCAAACCAGCGAGATAAGCCATGGGGTATGTGGAGGGCCGCATTCCTGGCTGTCATGAGCCAGCTCTGATTTATGCAGACTGGAAACCCAGGCCGAGTAATTGGGGATCATTTCTCTGGGGTTCTTCTAATTGCTCCTCTCCACCTCTAATTGCTACTTCTCACCGTGGCTGCTCCCTTATGAGCAAAATTAATTTGGGCTTTGCTTAAGGTTGATAGGGAGGCTTGGAAGCCTTGCTGATGGATACTTAAGACAACATCCTGGGCATGGATGGCTTTAAATCCAGTTTCCCGGTGCTCCTGAAAACCTGAGCTGGCACAGACATCCTGAGCACTGAAAATTCACCATCCTGAGCTGGTATGCATCGTTGGCTTGGAAGATTCTTGTGTCCCTTCCTTTGCAATGGTGTAGCAGATCTAGTTGAGTTACGTTTCCCATTAGCAGGGAGTAGCCTGATAAGCAAATTTGTTGTGTCCTCACCAACAGCCTTTTCTCTCCCCGTCCTCCATCTTGTGTTTCAGGCAGAAATGCGCCTGCAGGACCAGCAGCTTGCGAGGCAGCTCATGCGCCTTCGTAGCGACATCAACAAGCTGAAGATCGAGCAGACCTGCCACCTGCACCAGCGCATGCTCAACGACGCCACGTACGAGCTGGAAGAGAGGGACGAGCTCTCTGACCTCTTCTGTGACTTCCCCCTCATGACCTCCTTCAGCCTCTCCACGCCACTCAAGCTCATCGGGGTCACCAAGATGAACATCAACTCCCGCCGGTTCTCGCTGTGTTGAAGGGGGGAAGAAAAGGGAAGGATGGGGGAGAAAGAGAGAGAGGACTGGGCAGCACCGGGGCTCTCTCTGCCTGACGCTGGGTGAAAAGAGGCCAAAGAGGAGCAGAGGGAACAGGAGCAAACAGGGAACCCACAGCTGGTCTTGGTGGCAGGGTAGAGCAGCAGAGCTGGGCACTGAGATGGCCCAGAGATGCTCGTTGAGAAGATGAGACCTGCATGGAGGAAGCGTGGAGAGCATCTGAAACCAACGTGTGCACTTAGCCTGCTCCTTTGCAAAGTCCCTTCTCCTTCTCTTCCCCCCACAGTAACTAAGAGGACACAGCTCCACTGTGGTTGGTTGTATTCAAAAATCAAAGGAGGAGATCAAAGATCAGCCACGAAGCAAAGCAAAATCCCTTCTCCCTTCCCCTTTACCTCCTCCCAGGCTACAGCTGTCTCTTCAGAAAATACGTCACTCTCCTCCATGGTTGTCTCTTTGGGCATCAGTCCTCAGCCTCTGCTAGCCCAAGAATAGGATCCAGGGGACTGTTTCAGGTGAGAAGCTGATTTCCCATAGAAAGGAGCGCTCTCAGGAGGTGAGGTACCATGCATTAAATGGTATGCAGCCCCAAGAAGTGGTGAGAAGATGTTTATTCACTTGCTCCGTTGAGTCCGGTGTACTCTAGTTTAATTTTGCTTGTGGTATAAATTATGGACAGATCATGAACACATTTATATAGAGACTTCAGTCAGCCAGAAGTCACCTGTGTGCCCTAGGAATTATACCCAGAGCAATACATGCTTCTGATTTTGTTGTTAGCAGGGGCCACAGGACACCATGTGGTTACCCCCGCAAGCAGTAAAAGGAGGTAAATTACACCCAAGATGTCTCAGATCAGAGAAATCACCCCAGTCTGACATTCCCCACAACAGCAGCACCAGCAAATCCTGGATCCTCTGTAGCAACGGACATCCATCAGAGAAAGGGACTTCAGGAGGAGTAAAGGGACTTTTTGTGTAACAAACATAAAATGCGACTATAAGATTAAAGAGAGAAATATTGCTGCAAAGAGCTTTGAACTTGCAACAAACACACGGGTTTCCCTCCCTGCTTGGCAGTATGTAAGAAGGATGCTATATTTTCTTGCCTTTCAGTGCACACAGATGCACACCTGCCTGTGCATGGCACGGAGGCCAGAGACACCCGTGATGTGGCCCAGCAAGGGCAGGGACTCAAAAGGTCTAGCCATGGCAATCTTGGGACACCTGGCACCCAAGGCAGTCTGTCTAGAGGGAGTGTGGGTGCCTTTAGGATCTGCCTCCTGCGCCAACACCACTCCTGAGCCTGTCAGTGTGGTACAATCTCTGAACGCATCGCCCCAGCACGTGCCCGAGCAGAGAGCTCTGTGGCTGAGGGAACGTGACTGTGTCCACACAGCATCAGCTGACGCCCTGGGGATGAGCGGGAGATGCAAGCCAGCACTGAGCTGAAGGCTGTGTGTCTGTGCTGATGTGCCTGTACCTGACTGTGTCTGTAAACTCTGTGTGTGCATAAAGTGGGGTGTGTGTGTGTGTGTGTGTGTGTGTGTGTGCGTGTGTGCACGCACATGGGGCGGAGCAACCCCAAGTACAAATACAGGGCTCAGCCCCGAGGAGAAGGACTTGGGACTGTTGGATGGAAAACTGACTGTGAGCCAACAGTGTGCACTTGCAGCCCTGAAAGCCAGCTGTGTCCTGGGCTGCACCCAGAGCAGGGTGGGCAGCAGGTCGAGGAAGGGGATTGTCCCCCCCTACTCTACTCTGGTGAGACCCCCCCTGCAGGGCTGGGTCCAGCTCTGGGGGCACCAACAGCAGAAGGACACAGACCTGCTCTAATGGGTCCAGAGGAGGCCATGAAGATGCTCGGGGGGCTGGAGCACCCCCCTGTGAGGACAGGCTGAGAGAGTTGGGGGGTTCAGCTGGAGAAGAGAAGGCTCCGGGGAGATCTTAGAGCGGCCTCCCAGGGCTGAAAGGGAGGGACTCTTGATCAGGGATTGCAGTGATAGGACAAAGGGTAATGGCTTTAAACTGAAAGAGGGCAGATTTAGATTAGATCTAAGGAAGAAATTCTTCCCTGTGAGGGGGGTGAGGCCCTGGCACAGGTTGCCCAGAGAAGCTGTGGCTGCCCCCTCCCTGGGAGGGTTCAAGGCCAGGTTGGACGGGGCTTTGGGAAACCTGGGCTGGTGGAAGGTGGCCCTGCCCATGGCAGGGGGGTTGGAACTGGATGATCTTTCAGGTCCCTTCCGGCCCAAACCATTCTATGATTCTCTGTGAGCCCGCAGGATGCCTCTCTCAGGAGGTTGAGTGGTGGACCCATGTCTTTGTTCCCAAACATGACATGAACCAGAATCTGGTGAGACTCTGCCATGCCTGGGAAGATGCAATAAGGCTTCAAGACTTGGGGTTTCCACAGAGAGCTTAGGTCGATGCAGAGAAGACAAGTAAGTCATCTGCCTGAACATGTCTCTGTGGGAGGAACAAATTAGCATCACAAAGGGGTTCATAGCGACATGGGCTTGGGGACTGGTAGGGCACTCAGCAGCTGAGTTCAGTCCTCTGTCTCCCATAGTATGTAATCCCTCAGTGATGCCTCCCACTCCAAAGTTCACTGAGTATCATTTCTTTCTGCTAAAAAAGGAGGTATTTGGAGCACTGGAACTCTATACCTGTAAGTTAACCAGTCCCGTGCCTGGGTGCTGGATCTTGTGCTGCCCAGGTGGTGGGGTTTAACTGAGTTGTGTCCAGACTGTCAGCTGGCCTCTGGACAGGACAACCAGCCACAATGCCGTTTAGTTTAATAGTAGAGAAATAGCCTTATCTCCCCATGGACATCTTGAAAAAAAAATCATTAAAATTCTTCTTTGTTTACTTTTTTAATTAAAAAAAAAATTCATGTCCCACGTGTTGATTTTCAGAGGCATTTTCGATCAAAAGGTAGCAGTGATAAATTTTCAGTGAAAATAATGCCTTGAAAGAGGGGGACTGGCTCTCTCTAGGATCAGCTAGAGTCAGCTTATAGGGTGGACCTGTCTTTGGGCTCTTGTCTGGTACCCAAACGCAGGAGGTTAGTACAAGCACAGTCTGAGCAGGCCATTATATATGGCATTAGAAATATCAGACGTCTGGGTTCCAGACATGTATTTTCTGCATTAAGTGGAATGGGGGATGGTAATAACTGCCAGCTGTTCATCGAAATGCACAATTTTTTAATTATAAAATAATGTCTGTACTGATTTCTGCCTCTGGTGTCTCGTTGTGTTCGGTGGCTCCAGCTCTGCCTGGAAGCACGTGGTTGGGAAAGTACCGGTCTGGTGTGTTCAAGGTTTAGAGGTGTGCAAGGTTTCCGTTTCCAGTCAGGTTTTTCTATCCACCCACATCACTGGGGCAGCCCTATGGCTCCAGAAGCAATTTCTCTGCTTTGCAGCATGGAGGAGATAGGAAGAAATTAAGGTGAGTGCATTTATTACGCATTTGGATAAAACTATGGGAAAGAAAGAAGAAACAAAACAAAACAAAACAAAACACTCTTTTATGTTAGGTGTTGTTTTGTTAGTGAGCCAGGGAGTCAAGAGTGGGTCCAGGCACTCGAAAATATATCAGGCTGGGGAAGAAAAATAAATAGAAGTACGTCTGATTTTTGCTGAACTTTGTTTAAAGAAAACGAGTCATCCAAAGGTTGGGTCGGCCTTCAGAAACATGAGTACAGATCGCTGCTCCCAGCACAAAATTCCCAGAAAGGAACCTCCAGGTCTCAGCTGTCTGCAGTGAGATGATTCACACCTTTGAGTGCCGGTTCCTGTCCTTGTACAAGTGGCTTAGAGCCGTGTTCCTTTTCCTAGATGACCTACGATGTCTGCAGAGAAAAACTAATGGCGATCAAGGTGGATGTTTCTGGGGTCCATCCTGAAAATGCCTTTTAACGTGACCACACGTGTGGACCACCAAATCAAGGCTGTGGTTTCTCCATCTGGAGCACCAGTGGCTGCTGCTCCATTTATTTGAGCCAGGGATCTACTGGACGTTGATTCAAGGGTCGTCCACAAGCACCCAGCAGTGAGACACCTTCCACGTGAAATTAAAGAGCAAGTTTGAGAGGAGTCTATGTGAGTAATTAACGGCATTTTTAATTTAGATAGAAGGACTGGAAGACCATGGATTTCTCCCGGCTAACTAGAAAGACCAAATTTCAGATTATTTTATTCTTGCCCCCAAAAGCTCAATGCAAATTTTGGATGGGGGGAGTCAGTCTAGCATTTTAAGTGGTTACTTTTTGCTGTTGCTTAAAACAGTTTTAAAAATCTTAAGTTAAAACTGAAATCATTAACACCTCATTTTCATTCAAATGTTGTTGTTCTGTAATGAACGGTCAAAATAATTTCCCTGAAATAGCCTTAATGATTTTTTTCCACTTTTTCAGTGGGTAGCAGCTGTTCATCCAGCTAGACCCAGTACCTGAAGTTTCAGTCAACATAAAGCTCTGTATATTTTTTCAGCGTGAGGAAGTCGGTTAAAAACGAATTGGCCCAGATTGATTTCTGACTTCCTTTGGGTCACTTAAAAGGAAGCACAAAGCAATTTTACACATTTTAACTTATGGTCAACTGGCCGCTCTCCCTTGGCATGGTCTTGCCACGACATACTAATGGACAAGACCTTGCTCGTCTGTCACAGCCCTGACGCAGCAACAATAAAAAGGGTGATTGTTCCTAGGAGAGTGCCTCATTCCTCACTCTTTTGGCACAGAGAAGTGCTCTCGTATAATCAGCGAGTGATCTGTGTTTTGACGTCTCCCACAATATAACCCTCCATATAACCCTTAATGAAATTCTATAGAGATATAGAAATGCCCCAGTAGGTCCCGCTTACATGGGGAAAGCCAGGGAATTACATGTTTAAGGATTTAAAGACTGAATTTTCAGATTGCCTCTGCTACACAGTATTTCAACTATCACAGTCAAACCTCTTTTACATATATATGGGATAAAAACCCAGATGGAGTATTCCCAGCACCTTGTGGGATTTTTTTTTTCACAGACTGACACTATCTGCTAAGTGGGGTTTATTTTAGATCAAGGAAGACAGAAGGGGGGGGGAAGGAAAAAAAATATAAAGAAAGGATTGCAATGAGGAGGTGGCAGGCTACACACCAAAACCAGAATCAGACTCACTTCCCTCGCTGCATGTTTTACAACCAGCAGCCATGTCTGAGGAGATATACACAGCGGGCAGAGGCATCCCAAAACCTCAGGGAGAAATCACCCCTTGGGCATTGCTTACAACCCAGCTGGCACCCAGAGGAACCTTGCAGGGGCCCAGAGGAGGAGCAGCACTGAAAGATGTGCAAACCACTCCTGAAATCCTCACCGGTCTCCATGCTACCTGGGAAAACTGGAAAGCTGAATAACACCAGCACCTCCCTGCCCTCTCTGACCAGGGAACACCCTGAGCCTCAGATGACAGCACTCACTCAGGTGAAGCTGAGCCCCGAGCTGCGGTGGTTGGATGTGGGTTTTAAGGTAAGTGATGATCAGATTTGGGGCAAACTCTCGAATTCAGGCTTTCATCAATCACAGAATCATAGAATGGTTTGGGTTGGAAGGGACCTTTAAAGGCCATCTAGTCCAACCCCTCTGCCACACACAGGGACACTTTCCACTACATCACCTTGCTCAAAGCCCCGTCCAACCTGGCCTTGAACCCTTCCAGGGAGGGGGCAGCCACAGCTTCTCTGGGCAGCCTGTGCCAGGGCCTCACCCCCCTCACAGGGAAGAATTTCTTCCTTAGATCTAATCTAAATCTGCCCTCTTTCAGTTTAAAGCCATTACCCTTTGTCCTATCACTGCAGTCCCTGATAAAAAGTCTCTCTCCACCTTTCCTGCAGCCCCTTAGGGCCACTCTAAGGTCTCCCGGGAGCCTTCTCTTCTCCAGCTGAACCCCCCCAACTCTCTCAGGTGCTCCATCCCCTTGATCATTTTCGTGGCCTCCTCTGGACTTGCTCCAACAGGTCCATGCCCTTCCTATATCTCTCATCCTTTCATTATATTTTATGGAAAAGGACCAAGAGACCAGCTCCATGCACCCATTATTCAACACAGCCAAGACCGGGACTTGCCCCATCTTTGCAAAAGGCAGATGGTGCAGAGGCTCCGTGTTCCAATCCTTGGGGCAGCCAAACCATCCTGGTCTTTGCTGCCTTCAGCATCTCAGTGTGCTTCAGAACACCCCGGGTCAGCCACTGCGAGAGGTCTGCAATGCCCAAGCCCTGGAGGTGTGATGGAAGACGCCCGGAGCTTCACCACTGCCCCTTCCCCAACACCCCCTCTCTCTGGTAGCTGTCTCACCCCCTCCCTCCCCTCCTGCCTCTCCGAGGGGGAGGAGAAGCAGGGGGGTTATTACACAATGTTTTTGTTCCACTGACGATCTCTCTCTGCCAGTTGGAACAGGCTGCTCATAAATTGCAACTTTCTGGAGGGGTTTCAGGAACTTTGCATTCTTAGATCATTGTCTCTCCTCCCTGGGAACAATGAGGGTAGGAAGGAGCTGCTCCAAAAATGCCATGTGCTACAGGGGGATTTCTTTAGGATGGGGATTGCTCGGAGAGGCAGAGGAAGTTTCCCCTGACAGCTTTATCGTACAGCCTGGGTATCTAAGGAGGAAACTCAGCAGGAAGCG